TCGAAATGAAGGTCCCCCAAACAATGTTATCTCAGGAGATTCATCGAAACCAAGTTTCTCTTCGTATCTAGTTTGAGACTATTCTATCTCATATCTAATTTCTGCCATGGGTTCGGCCACTTCTGCTCGTTGGACTAAGCTACCTTAAGCATTTGTGTTTAGAAAACAGCCGACATACGTTGGCTTCCTGTAAACATATCTTCCTAACTTACCCTTTCTATAATGATCAGAACATCCAACAATAGTAAGGACCTATCCCCTTTTATTTCAAATATGAACCTAATGTTCCTTTCACATTGGCTAAGTGAAAGTAGGAAACCATCTTAGCTTTCCTTACAATGAGGATAGACGACAAAATAGCCATATGTGTACCTAACCCACAATTCAGGGTTTAGTATTGCCTGTTTCAAATAGTATTCATCAAGTTTGGTCATATAGTTATTCACCAAGATGGAAGCTAAGCAGGATTCCATCGCAAGTCCTTGTGTCTATTCATAAAATTTGCCATCAAAGGTAAAATAGAGGCTATTCGTGGATAGGTGAGATAGAGCCGGATAGTTTTCTTGATCTAGTGTTAACGTGAGACTTTTATAAGAATTAATTCCAGCTCGGATGAAATCCATCATATGATGGGCGAAAGCTCGGCTCGTTTTCAGCTGAAACAAGGGAGGTCTCGTGGACTGCGTCAACTTGGACGTCGTAATAAAGCTAAAAGCCTGCAGTACAACAGGGATTCATTTTCTTCTTCTGGTGAGATCGACCTTCAAATCTCTGCCTCATGCACTTCCATACAAAAGAAAGTCTCCCCATCAATATTATAAAATTAGCATAGCAGTCATTTGAGGAGCATCATATGCAGATTCATGTTTAGTAAGGGATTGCAGACTCATACTAGAGTGAAACAAGGATATGGACTCAGTTTAGATCCATGTTAAGCTCTTGGCTACTGTGAACCGGTATGCAATCTTTAAAATCCTCATAATGTGAATCAGCACGTAACCTTTATAATACCAAATCTTATAGGAACAATATTAAAAATCGAAATATAAATCCTTCTCAAGCATTTAAAGAGTAATATATGATTTAATATGAAGAAAAGCTGGATTTCGAAGAATCCCTTAATGATATATTGTTGAATGATTTTCCATTTATAAGGAAATCCGTGATGTGGCCTCACTGGAAGCCGAAGGAGGATTGCCACGTAGGGAAGACTGTTGTATTGTGCCAAGAAGTCCTCGGTTCACAGTTCTGTGATCCCGATGAATCTATGTACTGCAGTGACGGATATAATGAGTGAAAATCCGTACTTTACGGGATAGAGCAAAAATATACTGAACCAAGAGAAAATGTGGCCAGCTTCAAACCAAGTTGTTTTTTATACATCTACCTTGGCGATCTTAATGATGCATCCCATGATTTGGTTGGCTACTTCAACCTTACTCTACATGCTTGCAAATGAGTAGTCACTTCACGAACCGGAAGTGCGTTCGGTGGCAGTTGTTTCCTTACACAAATAAACTAGTGTACAATCCTCTAATGTTAGTTCATGCTTGGGTCTATGCTATTATCTATTGTGTGTATGCACTGTTCATGTCATGGGAAGTGTGATTGTCCTAACTAGACTATAGGCTAATCCGGCCACCTCTTGTTCCCATACCTCTTCCTGCACT